CAATAAAGACTACTCTATTGCTAATAAAGGCTATTTATAGTAATAAAAACTAATAGATATAATAGATATAATATATATAATAGAAATAATAGATGCACAGTAATTAGCACAGTAATTAGCACAGTAATTGGCACAGTAATGCACAGTAATTGGCACAGTAATGCACAGTAATGTACAGTAATTTGGGCCAATCAGATTTAAGTCATGTGTTTGATGAAATTGCCAATTTTACAAATCTTTGCCGATCTTAGGATCCAGTGATCAGAATCACATGATCTTGTGCTCTTTAGAACCGTCTCAGTGAGCTGAATCCAATGGTGGTTGTTTCATCCAAATTGGTTTGGAACATCAAAAGTTATGGTCAAAAATGTGTAAAACTCTTAATGTCAACACTATGTATATAAGTCTCTACACTGTAAACCTTAACTCAGTATCACTTATCTCTCCAAAAGCACTAAAATTATGATAGTAAAGTCTTGTATCTTCCAAAATAAATTTGACGAGATATATTTAACGCTTATCTTTATAAACCTGCTTATTACTAAAACAAACTTGCATATAAAGATGGATACTTGTATAGTACTGGATAAGATAAATATAAGTTTATTTTGGAATCAAGATATACTGGATCAGGTTTGTTTAACTGTGAATATCTAATGCATATACATACAAAGGTGATTAGTTATCTGATATCTAATAATAAGTTAAAGTTGATAATCTTAAAGCCATATACTTCAATTAAGTAATATGATCAAAATATTTTTAATTATAAAGTTTTGATATATATTATAAATCCTTTATAATCTGGTTAGATTTTAATGATGGTTCCAACCTAAAAAATTCAAATAATATGAATAATACAGATGGCATGTAGGATTTATATGTTGAAATATATTCTGAAGCTGAAACTATGTTAACAGCTTCCTTAGCTTCGAGTACTAATAGTTTAACTCATAAAAAGCGAAAGACTACCATGTTATCTGCTAAAATGAATGTAAAATTCCATAGTAATTGCAGTCATACTGTCTATTTTTTTAAGTTAGACCAAAATGATTCTTCTGTTGCTTATTGCAAAATATGTGAAAATAATTTGTCTGGTACACAACACAAACCTTACCCATATACTCGAAAAGGTGGGAATACAACAAATCTTATTAACTATTTATATAATAAACATAATATTACAAAGGAAAATTATCTTAATACCAAAAAAAAAAAAAAAAAAAAACAAAAAAAAATTATATGTAATTTTTGGATGAACATAATAAAGTATATATGAATTATGTTACTATATATTTAAAAATTAAAATTAAGAGATATTTTTTTGTTTTATAGCCTCGACATGATCAAACAAAAATAACCGAATATGCAAAAACAGCAACTCCATATTCATCCAAACAGCAAGAACTTATTACTCAAATTATTATTTCCTTTATTATTAAATTTATTTAGCCTCTATATATTTACAAAATCCATCTTTTGTGAACTTATTTTTACCTATGAGCCTGGTTATAAAATTTTATGTGATAAAACAGTTAAAGCCATAATTTATGATTCATATGTGTGGAGTAAAGAACAACTTCGCACACTTTTAAGTAATAATGTTGTTGCTATTCACTTAATTACTGATTTATGACTGCCAAATCACGTTATAGATATCTTGATATAACAGCAACATGGTTAACATCAAATTTTGAATTCCGTGAAGTACTTTTATCTTGCAATCATCTTCCATATCCACACTTGGTTAAGGATATTAGTGCTGAACTATTTCGGGTTATAATGAACTGGGATTTATCAGATATATTATTAACCATTGTAACAGACAATGGTGCGAATATGGTAAAAAGCATTCGATTGTTAAATGAGCAGTTTTTGTCACAAGTTAGGCAACAGCCTTGTGTTGCACATACATTACAACTCTCAGTCTTACAAGGATTAAAACAATGCAAACAAGTGCATCATCGAGTAAAGTGTTTGCAAGCTTTTTTTCATTTGCCAAAACAAGCTCAAAAACTTTGTAAAGCTTAAAAAAACTCTGAATGTTCGCTGAAGGATAATTATTATAACCGACTCGATGTCCTAACTGATGTTAAGACCAGATGGAATTCTGTATATTATGCATGAAAAAGAATTTTAGAATTACATAATTCAATGCAGTCTCTTTTTACTACATTATTGGCAAAGCTGATCAAAAATCATATCAAAAAGAAGAAAAATTAGAATGGTTGTGTTTATCTTTTAATAAAAAACAGTAAGATCTAAAAATTTTATAAATTATGTAAAAAGTATCTTATGGATCTCTGAATAAAATAACTTATACAATCGCACCTCCCTAAGTGCACAGTATATGAAGAACCTTTCTAAATTCATGCCTCTGCTCAGTCCCAAATTATTTAACAATTATAAAATTTAATCTTTCTAAATGTACATTTTGTTTTTTTTTTATTATGGTCCCGAAAGAAGTGCACTTAGGAAGGTGCAACTATATATGAGTACTGCCAAGAAAAAACTGTAAATATTATAAGATTGTGGGTTTTCTTTTAGCAGCACTCTAATATTATATTAATATTATTGGTGATTATTTATTTTTTAATTTTATTTTTTTAATTGATTTATTTTTTATTTTATTTTATTTGTTTTTAACAAAAAGATTTCTTCAAGATGCATTAAAACTTTTATCACTATTTGAAAAAATAACTCGTCGAATATGCGGAGCCAAATATTGCACTTTAAGTCTTGTTTATCCTTATATTGAATTATTAAAAAAGTCATTTGAACCTAACTATGAAAGTAAAGAAACTTATGATATGTACCTTGATTTAATATATAGACCACAAAGTGAAAATGATAATGAAGAGGTAGAAGAATCTGATAGTTCAACAAGTGACAAAGATGAAATTCCATCTGGTGGTTCACAGAAGCACTGGCAATATGCTCATTGTTAATTTCGACAAAAAATGTGTTTGACCAAAGGAAGAAGAAAAAAAAAAAGCAAAAAAAAAAAGAATAATAAAAATTCTAAAAAAGATATGGATGAGTTTAATAATGTTGAATATTTACCGGCTGCTAATACTGTTGGCCTTCTTCAGAAAGTCTGGGCAGCTATTTTTTATTGCTTGATGAGTTGTAATCTGTGCCATCTGATTTTGTTCGAATTACTACAATACTTAATTCTTGATTTAAAGATTTCAAATGGGATAATACAGGTAACGAAAAAGATGAAGCGCTTAAGTTATTGCAAATTCAGTATGATTTTGTAAAAGGAAATTCTTAAACTAGTGATATTTATACTTAACCAACTCAACAAACAACACCTTTTCATGATTGTATAAATGATGATAATGATTTCTTTCAAGTGTTAGAATGTAAAGAATTGGGCAGTTCATTTTTAAATGAGGATAAAGTTTCATATTATATAAAACATAGGAAGATAGATGTTGATCAGGACCCTCTAAAGTGGTGGGATGCAAACAAAAATGAGTTTCCAGTTTTGTCCTGACTTGTACTAAAATATTTATCAGTTTCTGCAGTAACTGTACCTAGTGAGAGATTATTCTCAAATGCAGATAATCATATTTCTGCAAAACATACTCGATTATCTCCAGATTTGGTTAATCAAGTTTTGTTTTTAAAAAGAAACAGTGAGCATTTAACATATTTGATCAGAGGAACTATGAACTTTTACTCTTGCTTATTTACAGAATTAGATGCTAATATAGGTCTATATATAAAGTAGGAATATTTTAATTGAATATATGAAATATAAATAGTTTTAATTTTTAGTATAGAGTTAAAATTTTTTTTTTTGCTAATACTGTATCATACTGCATATAGTATTCGGAGTCTTATTCAAGAACTTAATTTTTAAAATCAAATAGTACCTGAGTATATTATGCAACAGCAAACTTATATTGTAAAATATAAAATTTTAAAGTACATATACATTTTGCACTTATAACAAGCAATCTAGGTTTTGGAAAAATCTGCATTTGATTAATAGAGTTTTCGTGATTTGCATCTGGGTCTTAATCATGGAAGGTACTATATTGGTGAATACTTTATACAGTGCGATATGGTAATTTTTGTCATTTATATTAATAAAGGCTTCAGATTTTCACTTTTCATATATCATTTGAATATGCGATTCTGTAATTATAACATTAGTAAAAAGCAAATAAAACTGCTCAGTATAATACCAATTAGTATATCATATAGTATTGTTTAATACCTCATATTATTATTACTGATATTATACCTAGAAAACTTAATAATATCATTAGTATATACATTGTAAAAGAGTAGATTGTTGCTTGAAATTCATAGTCTAATTGGCTAATAAACTTAATTTAATTTTGCATTATTTATACAGTTTAGAATACTTTTTTAAAAATGAAAACCAATCATAAAAAAAGCATATAGAAGGTTTCATTAAAGCTGTAAGACTCTATAGCTAAAAATAAAAAAAATTAGCTTAGTAATAAGTTGATTTTATCAGGTTTTGAGAAGTTATTACTATACTAACTTTTTAA